GCGTACGCCCTTCCCAATTTTGAACCATGCAGTGTTCCCTTGCTCTGTTCTGACGACTGCCTCCTGGTCCAAGTATAGGTTTCGCATTAGAACGATCAAGTGTACAAGCAAATTATAAATCGGAAACATTTAAAAAATCTTAAAATACATTTATAAAATATACCACTCAGCAACTCATTTCCATTTATTGTCATCAAGTGAGAAATGACTCACGGCTCACCCTCTACTGGGTCTGCAGAGGCTGTAAATCACATGGGGTTTTGGGGATAATAGGTGTTAATACTTTTCTTTTAATTAAATGGTATCCATGTTAACAGAGTCCCAAGTTTTATATCTGATTCAAATCTGCAATTTTTAATGTATTTTTTAAATCCCTTAAAGAGTTATAAATTCCTACATACTCTCCCTGAAGATCATGAAAAAATGAAAGCATTTACACTGCATCTTTATCATTAAATATTAGTAAGTTATGTTCATAAAAACATAAATTATGACAAATAAACTCATTTACCTACCATACATCATGGGGAAGATTTAAAGTTATGCTCCCTTTGATTTCATCGCGGAAACACATATACCCCAAGGTAGCTAACGTTATATACAAAGCTGTGACGATTCCCATGCCAATGTTCAGTGCTTGGGGAAAGCGTTTTGATTCTTTCATTTGGTTTTCCAGTGGGAGAACCTAAGAAAAGAGTATAAATCTTCTTAAAAGGGAACATAATACTAAAAGTAACGAAAATAATTCAAAGCAATCTAGAATCCATAATTACAAATGCACATTGGAAATTCTGTAATTTATATGTAAATCTTTTTTTACTCTTTGAAACATCACCATATAATTGTTGAGGTTTTTTTCTGTACTACATCAGCCAGGAAATTAAAAGGCATATTAAAGTCTGCTGGAAGGGATCTCTCCAAATACTGAAGAGCAATGGTGTCTCTCTGGAGACTAAGGTGTATCTGATACAGACCATGGTCTTTGTAATCACTTGTTATGCGTCTGAGAGTTGGACAATGACTAGGGAGGATAGAAGAATTGATGCCTTTGAGCTGTGGTGCTGGAGAAGA